AGTCAATGGACATGGGCAATAGAGTAGTGAAGACCTGGGCATGGGCGGGTAGGGGTGGGAGAATGGCGGTGAAGTGGGGGGAAATGGGAGATATCTGTAATATGATCAACAATAAAAATATACATAAAAATTCTTAATTTTTGCTGCTTTGTTTTATTTGTTCATACTCTTTGTAAACATTCACACAGCATCAAACCAAGGGCATAAGAAAGTGCTTATTAAATGTTTTGATGATGGTGAAAACTGTGGATTTCTTCTACCCCATGTAGTCATGGAGGGCACATAAATAAATAATCATAACAGTTATAAATGCTCTTTAAATAAGATCTCTACCTTGACTAAATAAATTATCAGGCTGAACACAACTGGTTTTATACACATCAGGCAGGGTAAAAGTCTATGGTGCATTTGACTCATTTGAAGTATCTGAGAAATAAACTTTTTTTTTTTTTTTTTACACAATTTGGGAGCAGGTAAGGTTTAGGTTGCATTAACTGCATGGTGCATTTGATACATTTGAAGCATCTGAGAAACGGACTTACCCAGCTCTGGAAAAAACAAGGGAAGACTAAATTGTTATAATTTGAAATGACATTTAACAATAAGTGGTTACATAAGAAATGTTCAAGGAAATTTTAATGTGCTGCAGCAAACAGGATTATAAGGAAATAAAATTTCAAGGTGCATTCTAGTTAAGTCCTAAACATATTTGCAGTGGTTTTGAAACGAGAACGTACTGTCCAGAAGCTCAGGGAGAATTTTGCTTCCCTCAGCAGAAAATGCAGTGCTCATCTACCCTTAACCTTCCTTACAGATGGCCAGTGCCTATCTATACTGGGGCTACCTGTGGGGAGCTCTGCCTATAAAAGCTCCCAAGAAGGCACATTTCAAGGACTATTACCCTTGAGCAGGCTCTCCATTAGGCTACAGGGCTCTTTGTGGTGCCCCATGCAGAGCTAAGCCTCATGGGTAACTAACCCCAGGGTAGCTGAAAAACTAATCTTCAGCAAGTAAGTTCTACTTACAAGTGGGACCTTCTAAAGAACAATGGACCAGGCCTTTCACTTCTTTGGGCCTCAGAGTCTAGCACAAGGCTAAACGTACAAAAAAATACTCAGCAAATATTTAATGAATGAACCATGTCTCAAAAAGGTTGCTACTATGGCTACTCTATGTGAATGCAGTGTTCAATAGTACCTAAAGTTAAATTTTAATGAGTTATAAACTGCTCTTGAATCAAATTATAATAGGAAACTTTTCCAGCCTTATTTTTTAATCCTATATAGGTTATATGACTACCTGATAAAATATAAGACTTCCAGTCAAACTTGAATTTCAGATTAATACAAACAAATTTTAGTATAAGTATGTCCAAAATATTGCATGGGGCATACTTATACTTTAAAAAAAAAATGCTTATCTGAATTTCAAATTTAACTGGGCATCCTATATTTTTATTTGCTCATTCTAGCAACTAACTCAGCAATTAGGCTTCTGAACTGATTGAATGTCTCTTCTTTTTTCTGATAATTGGACTTTAAAATCAAGATATATGTCATTTTTAATTATTCCTCCATTAAAATGAAGAACAAATGAACCACGATCTTCTTGACTTTATTTGAAGAGACCTTGAGAACCCCAGAGCATATGCAATTCATGACACAGAATAGCATTATCCATAGCACCTACTAGTGTAGTTCAATAGTTTGAATTTTTCTAAAAGAAGAAAAAAAAAATAAAAGAATAGGGTTTCAGCCGTTTTCTAATGACATGGACAGATGATGCCACAAAATCTTGGCATTACTGATAAGTACACAGTGTGCTGGAAATCTAATAGTTTCTGAAGGGGATTCTGAAGGGAACTTTCCATTATGCATATATTCTTGAAATTCAGGGTGCCCCATGACCCTAAGCTGAAATGATTGCTTTCAAAAATCACAAAGGATATCTAATTCTCAAAACTGCATTTTGAATTATTTCTAATGTCAGTGATTGAGTTGAGGAAGTCAATACAAAAACAGATGTCCCTTCACTTTAAGAAAACCTGTTATGCTGAACAAGAAACTTGGGTAGGCAGGTAAATGATGGAAGTGGTTATTTACATTGAATAATAACTCACTTCAACACTCCACTAAATATTAGTCTCCCATAACATTAACTTTTTAAAAATGTAATTTACTCCTTCACAGAATTCCTGAACAACTTTCTAGGGTTCCCTGAATATTTGGGCTACAAAAGTTTAGCTCCTTGCTCACTTGAGTACTCCATGTTTACAAATTATATCTACACAATGGTTTATAGTTACATGTAATGTTCCCTTTCCATAAAAGTCTAAGGTAATATGAATTCTTCCTGCTATTCTATAGGCAGACACTGTCTACAACCCAGTTCTCTTCAACTCCCTTCCTTTCCCCTAAAACTGGGAGGTCAAGCTTCCCTGAAACTGTGGAGTCATTCTTTCATATGCTCTCTAACACTTTAAATACAGAAGACATTACAAAATAAAATTAACTATTCACTATATTATTTTTCTAGGGAGTCACTGTCCTAGAAATAGTGAGGAAGGTTCACTTAATCTTCGTTTTTAAATGAACTTTTAATTTGAGAATAGTTTTAGATTTGTAACAACAAAGAAAGTAAGGATAGTACAGAGTTACCATGTATTCCGCAGCCACTTCCCCATTGTTAACATCCTACATTAGTATGGTACATTTGTTGTAACTAATGAATCAACACTGAAATATTGTTTCAATAACACTTATCCAGAATTTCATGTTTTACCTAATGTCCTTTTTCTGTTCCAGGATCTCATTTAGGATACCACATTATATTTAGTTGTCATGTCTCCTTGGACTCCTCTTGGCTGTGGTAGTTTTCAGATTTTCCTGGTTTTGATGATTTAAAGAGAACTCATCCAGTATTTTATGGAATGCCCTCAATTTAGATTTGTCTGATGCTTTTCTCATAATTTGACAGACATTGTGGGTTTGGGAAAGAAAGAGTACAGAAGTGCCATTTTCATCACATCATAACAATGACACATGCTATCTTCATGGTTAATCACTGTTTATATTGATCATGATCATCTGTAGTTTGTCAGGGTTCTCCAGTGAGTTTTGGTTACTCTTTTTCACCCTTTTCTATACTGTATGTACTCTAATGACGTCACCTATGCTCAACCCACACTTAAGAGGTAGAATGTGCCCAGGTGGCATGGTTAACAGTTTGAGCATCGATCTATGAACCAGAAGGTCACAGTTCGATTCCCAGTCAGGGCACATGCCTGGGTTGTGGGTTCAATTCCCAAGTGTGGGGTGTGCAGGAGACAGCCGATTGATGATTCTATCTCATCATTGATATTTCTCTCTCTCCCCCTCTCCCTTCCTCTCCGAAATCAAGAAAAATGTATTTTTTTTTTAAGGTAGTGAATTAAGGTTCACCTCATTGAGAAGGCAGCATCTAGAGATTTGGAATTCCGCAGAGGAAATTTGTCTCTTTGCCCTCATTTATTTATTAATGCAATTATCTATCTCTATTTATGTGGACTTGTGGATATTTATTACTTTGGGTTATAATCCAATGCCACTTATTTTGTTGCTCAAATTATTTAAGCTTTGGCCTTTGGAGTTCTTTTATTCAGTTGGCACCTCTGTCCTTTTGAAATGCTCACCATTGTGTTTTCTTGTTTTGTTTTTTAACACACCTTCGCTTTCTGGAATTACAAGAGATCCAAGTTCCTCTGGTATATTCCCTGCCCCAACCCTAGATTTATCCTTTTTGTCCAAGGAGACCCAGTTCCAGATTTTTTTGGGGAGCATTAATGGCTGAAAGCCATTTTGATTTAAAAATCATTTGCTATTAAGCTGAAGATCATTCATGCTATTTATTTCAAACTTGGTTCTAAGAAGAAAAGTACAGTTTAATTTCTGAAGTATTTGATTTTAACAATTCTTATTCTACTTTAAAGGAACTGAATGTTTAGGGAATGAGGTTCTTAAGGAAAGGGTGAGTTGCTTCCCTTAAGGCTTAGCTAAGTGCAACCTGGTAATTCAACTAGAAATAGTAGGTTGTATCTAAGTCTAGGAAGAGCTTAATATATACTGCCCTTTTCAAACCTTGATTAAAAAGAATTAGGATGACCACATATGAGGAACTGGTTGTAGGAGGAAGAAGAGTATAACACATACTACTATGAAAACCAAATAACCATCTTGTATTTTTATGATGTATATGTAAGGAAAGCTGGCTTTAAATACCAGGAATGGCTCTTTTATAGATGTAGTGTCAAGCATGGATTCTATGGAACATCAGGACTTTAAATGGTTTTAAAAATCACAAATATGTCTTATAACAGCTTAGGCTTACCAAATTTTCATACTACAACTATTGATAAAGTCTCAAAAATTACACAAATGAAACACTTAATAAATAAATAAATGTATGCCCCCTGGCAAACTGAACAGGTGAGATTATGGTAACTACTAGTCAAAGGGTGATTTCTTTGTACCCAGTACACATTCACACACAGATAGTCCAACATATTAGATTCTATGATTGCTCTTCTTTCCACCTCACCTTCAAGTCACACTATAGAACCCCAAACAGATTATATATATATATATATAACCACTGAGAACTAAATCACAGCAATTGAGCTAACTTATGAAAACCAAGGACCACTCAGGGTTACTAGAGCCCCGTAGTCCAAATACATGCGTCTCTACTGACACTGGAAAATAGCTCTGACTTCTGAGTTGCTTCACACTAAGTTAATGCCTAGATTTAAAAAAATTGCCACCCATTAGCTAGACTCTTCTAGAACTGAGGCAGTCAGAGATGAGCTGGCTAAAAGTTGGACATTTTAACTTCAATCAGAAAGTTGATGAGTTCTGTTCTTTTACTCCGAATACTGCTTGTCTTTTCTCATGGATACAGGTTGAGATTTAGAGGACATGGTCTCTTAGCCAGCAAGGACACCAAAGATAACAGACACAAATAAATAGAAAAAAATAACTTCTTTTTATTTACAAAAAAAGAAAATCCAAATATTGGATGCTGTAAACAAAATTCACAATCTGTTCCCTCTAGCACTGATTCAAATACGTCAGCTTTTGAGTCCAATCTCCATCAACTCCTTTTCTGCCTGTGACAGTCTAATGTCAAAAATATTCCAAAGAGTGACCCCAGGTGCAGCTTGCTGCAATAGGATGTCTCAGAGCAGGCAATGGTTGGAGAGAGGCTGGAGAGTCAGCCAGCGGGCAGAGCCTCCTCCATTCCACAAGGCTTTGCAGCAAATCTTGCCAAGTTACCTTGACACCTTCCAACTTAGTACTTTTACCACACACTTTGTTAGCAAGCCATTATTACAACAAAATATTACAGAGATTCTTTCTTAGCACTGAAAAGGCTATGCTATAAGAAATCTTAAAGAAAGGTTATATTCAATTAGGTGCTATATATGAAATTACTTTTTTTTTTTTGGCTTTTGGTTTCATCTAACACACTTTGTCTTCAAATAACAAAAAAGCGTATTTTTGAGCTGCTGATAACTTTCAACATAATACATTTGATTTACAGGATAGTTCACAATATTTACTTGACAAGTATTGCACTGAAAACAACTTTATGCACAGTAAAGCAACCAACAATAAGCAAACATAAAGGGGTGGGGGGGAAAAAACAGTATGTTCACTTTTCTTTGCATTTCTTCCTTGGCTTGGTTTACAGATAGTCTTCCATCTTGCATTTTTTTTGGATCCATGCTGAAATAGTCCACCTAATACCTAAGTGAGCAGATACCATTTCTAGAAGGGAAAAGAGTTCTTGAGGCAACCATATTTACTGCAAATGAAGTAAACGTTTTAAAAGGGCATTGTCACATATTAAGTGTTTGCTGACATACCAGACTGGACAGATGAGAAGAGCCTTCAGAAGATAAAACTTCTTCCTTTTTAAAATAACAGCACAATAGGCCAGATAAACACAAAAGCAAGCAAATCACAGGCACTAATCAGGAGTTGAGAGCTGTTCTTTTCTCTGACCTATGCACACGAATCTTTTTCAGCAGACATTCAAATTTTTAGGCCACACATCCACAAAGAGAGACATATATTCCACTGTTTGTTGAACTACATATGAACAAGACTATAGTACATACAAAAGAGAAATAAATTATATAAGCTTTAAGGTAAATACTGAAAGTTGTCGTGAGGACAACCTGTTATATCTGAAAGCCAGGTGCTGGCACTTCCAATTTATGCTACCAACACAAGAAAAGAACATAAATATTTGAGAAAATAAATGAAAACTGTATTTTCAAAGAAGGCCCCTCTAAACAAAAATCTGTCACAAATTAACAACAGGTTGTTCCTATAGAAGAGCCAGATCTCCAGATTCTTTTAAAAAAGTGGACAACTCACTTTTCAAGAGTTAGGATGAGAAGGAAGATGGCAGATTACCAGATGCTCTGATGTTCCCAAGCATTCCCTAATATTCTTTCAGAAAACTTCCAACAGGGAAGCAAGCAGAGCTCTGGTTTCTGATAGTTAAGTATCAACCAGGCTTATTCTGGAAATGGAATATTTCCTGGGAGTTCACAATTTTTCAAACCCAGGGCTGGAGATAGGGAGACTGAGCCAACAAGGGAGAAGGAAGAGTCCCCTAGGAAACAGTAAGTGGCAGTGCAATAGCTGTTACAGCTTTGTCAAATTCACAGGGAAGCTGCTACAGCAAACCCATCAAGTTCCTATTAAGGCTTCAAAGAAAGGTGTGTGAAAGGTAGTTTGGGTGGTTTAATTTGGCATCTGAGTGATGCCCAGAAAACCATAAACAAATTACACTGCCATATAGGATGATGCTATGCTTTTCCCCAGCCCCTCTTTAACAGATCAGATTTTTTAAATCTGGTTGTTTCATCATAGAAATGATCATAGTAAGCAGTCATCCACTAGACTTGACAGGGATTATGTGGCTGTTTCACAATACAAAGGGAAGATTTTTTATGTGTTAGTTTTGTTTTTAATAAATTCATTTTCAGAGTCCAGTGTCCAAAGGAACTTAGAGCTAGGAGAAGGAATGGTGTTAATACTAGCTGACATTGAACTGAAATAGTAATGCCAATTCATTTCATAAAGCTATACATGGCTTCTTGGGAAAGAGAAAATAAAGTTGGATTTGATTCAATGCAAAGTGACTGAATTTAAAATACAGTACTAACTATTTAAATGCAGTGTGACAACCAGATCAAATATATTTCATATTGGCATGAATTTATAAAATTTTATATATAATATATATATATATTTCATATATAAATTTTAAGCAATTGTGCAAATACTCTTTATAAGGGATCATTTCACATTTACTAAATTCTAGTGGTCTTAGAATGCAGAAGGCATTCATTAAAATTTTCATCTAAATATTATAAGTAGTGTTCAGATCACCAGAAATTCTTTTTAGGGATTTAAATAGACTATCATGGATCCAGGATCTACTGGATTATACACCATGGAAACATGCAAGTTATATAAAAAACAATAAAAGGGTTCAAACTGTCAAAATGGCAGTTAAATATAAAAAAAAGAGTGCTCTGCCAAACATTCTCCCATTATTTTTAGAATTCTATGGCTCACAAAAAAAAAAAAAAAAAGGTGGGGGGAGGGGTGGGGAGGGAGAAACACTCCTAAAAATGTATAATCTCTGTACTTCCTATGAAATATATTACTTGTTTTCCTCCTTCATTTCCTTTAACATATTTAGATGTGGGTTTTAATTCATCACTGCAATATGCCCACGTCTCGTGTCATCCTGTTGAAACATAAAAGCACTCAGTATTTAAACATTTCCTATATGCTACATATTCTAGACCATAGTCAATGTGTTGTGTGAATATATTCATATCCCAAATATGTCTATATACACACATAATATACATACACATGTACCTATGATAACATCACACCAACAATGTTAGCTTTATACAAGTATTTGCCAAGAAAAAATAGGGCATTTCTTCCACCATTCACAAGCTTATGCTGTTTTATTTCTTTAGTCCCTGATAAAACAAAATAATCATTAAACCATAAAAAAATTTTCACTTCAAATTTTCAGAAGGCAACAGGCACTTTGATGTATATTGGTGTGTAACAAATATAGTAACTCTTTATATATTCTACTGTATCTCTTCTATTTGGGTATTTTTATCTGTTAAATCTTTGGTCCTTGAACATACTTTCCTTTCTACAGCTGTTTTTGCTTGCATTTTCACATTTTAAAAATGGAGCTAAACACGCAGCTGGAAATAATGGATTGTGTCATCGTAAGTTCTGCTGTTTGTTATGAAAACTGCATCAACCTACTACAGTTCATTTGGAGTAAGCCATTTCTGTTAGCGCAACAGGAGTTTCACAAAAAGCACTTACTACAAGCTTCAGATAATAATCCCAATGTTAGAGTTTCCCTTCTTCCTGTATTATTACTACCTAAACTCCTGATATAATTAATTTGGGGTGAGATCTTTTTCCCTCTGTATTTTTCCTTCTGTGAATTCCACCTTATAAGAAACTCCACCTTCCCCCCACACACCACCCCCCATGGCAAAGCTATGGGAGCAAGGTACTGCAAACCCATATTGTCATCAAGCATCCCCCCCTCCCCCCTGTTATTTTAGGAGAACCTGGTTGTTTTCAATGACAGGTCTCTTTAGTTACAGAATAGAATCTTATTCGCTAGGAGGATTTGGTGCATGGGTTGATGGGGAGTGGGGATCATTTTAAGATCATGCTCCCATATCTATGAAATGATCCACAAACTTTGCCAAGCTTAAAATCAGGAGCAGATCATCATTATACAAAACATATCCCTTATCAGGGCTGGGTCACTCAGCCTTTTTCCCCCCCTTTTTTTTTTTCTTTCTTCTTTTTTTCCTATCTTATCTGAAATAGCTTCCCCACAGGATATTTTTAAATGACTTTTAATTGCAGGGTAGCCAAGTAGAGTATGTCTGTTGCTGGCATGTGAACACTGGCTGGACTTGTGCAATGTAGTAATTGCTAAAGTTGGCATCTGCTACATAGGGGGCCGGCTGGTAATAGCAAGTGACATTAGCCACGTTAGGGATGACATTTTGGTCAGCTAGCACCCGGATAGCCAGCATTGTGATAAGGTTTAAAGTCTGTCTTCTTTCATGTCCCATCAGGCACACTGTACTCTCATTCACCACTCCATGAAGGGTCATGAGATAGTCATACTTGCGGTCTTCCAATCCCACGAAGTGGTTCTGTAAATAGGACTCCAGTTTTCTTTGCTGCTCTCCAATGTCTGAGAAGTCGATGAAAAACCTGGAACACATATACCTCTGAAGGGTCTTGATCTCATCAGAGGCGGGCCTAAAGCCCCTTACTAAAAGGTTGCAGTACTTCAGAAGGCCTCCCCCTCTGATTTCCTCTGGGTTCCTGGTGGCAATGATCTTATTACATAGGTGATCAAAGGCTTCGTGGAAATCGCCATAGACGCTCTCACCGATTATTGTGGGGTGAAATGTTTCAGTCATTGGGTTCTCTGAACATTCGTAAAAGAGGAGAAGAGAGTCTAATTTGATTTGAAAAGAATCTACACTAAATTCAAACTGCCTCCGGAGGGAATCCACGAATTTCAGTTCCATGTTTTTGCCACTGTTGTTTGATAGGGATATAAGACTCCATCGGTCAGAGTCATTGCACACTTTAACCATTTTCTGCACATAAGCTTCCTATAATTCAAAAGATAAAACAAGAACATGAGCACACCTAGAAAAAATAATAAATACATCCTCCTCACAGATGACATTTATTTTGCTCCTTCCCTTTTGTTTTGTCAAGTTTCAGCAAAACACTACCTACAGGCTTAAACAGTCTTCTGAAAACAGGGGGGGGGGGGGGGGAAATACATTTAACAAGTGGTTTTACTGTCTGGGGAAGAGACGAGAAATAACAGTTTGAGGCTTTTGGCAGATGTAGCACAGTACTAAAGGTTCTGTTGTCATGTCTGACTTCTGAAATGTTATTTTTTGAAAATGGTCTTATAGGTACAATAGTCACACAATATTCACATAATATTCAAAAGGAAGAAGAGCATTCAGCGGAAACTTGGTCTGCCTCTCATTCTTGTCTCTAGTCACTCAGTTCTGCACCCCCCCTGAGACAACAGATGAGATTAGTATCTTGTCTGTCCCTCTAGGGGTGTTTGGCAGTTACAATAAAAATGAACTATATTAGGACATTCTGGGAGGCTGATTCCTCAATTTTAACTATGTAAAATGCGTTTTGAACCAAAGAGAGGAGGGGAGAGGGGGCACACTATCTCCTTAACACATGCACAAACCCAGAGAAGCACCACGTCTATCTTAAACACAGGGAGTCAGCTGAATGCAGCTGGGAAATCTATTCACATTTTCCAATACAATAAGCTCGCTGGCTTGGTTCTGCTTCAGGTTGCTATTTTCGCAATGACTAGAACATATAATGACTCAAAAAAAAAAAAAAAGATTTAGGTCCTTTCATTCTTCCACTTAGAATCTACTCTGAAGAAGACTCAAGCAAGGATTGACAGGAGTTTAAAAAAATAAATAAATAAGGGGAAGGAAAGTGGGGGGGGGGGGCGCATAGGAGGAAGCAGGAGAATTGTGGCGCTGAAGCACCAAGTTAAGTAAAACCCTGGGCATCCTCCACGCACCTTAGATTACTCTCATGGTAAAGAAATCAAAAGCAAAAATAAATAAGCGCACCCCAAAAACCCGGTCAGGGCCATAGACTTCTGGGCATCTTTTCCTTTCCCTCTCGCCCTTAGAAGAACCCCTGCCCAGGAGTGGACGGACCCCTCCAAACCCTCTTGTCCTGGTGACTTTACCTTGAGCGTGAGCGGTGTGATCTTCTCTTTGTTCACCCCTTCGGGTAAGAAGTCCAACAGGCAGTCCAGCACGACGTCCTTGACAGTCTGAAACTCCTCCTCCCCGCGCAGGTCGGCGCAGAAGATGAGGTCCAGGTCCTTGTAGCCCAGGCCGCTGTCCTGGTGCAGGACGTGGCTGGCGGCCGAGCCGTTGAGGCGCACGTCGCGGACGCAGATGCCCTTCTCGGCCAGGCGCCGCCGCACCACCTTCACGATCAGGCTCGGCTGCAGCTCGAGCGTGGGGAAGTTGCCGCGCCCGTGGATCGGGATGGTCTCGCTCAGGATGCCGTCCAGCCGCTGCACTTGCTCCCAGGTGAGCACGTTGCAGTGCGCCGTGGGGCTCTCGCAGTAGTCCGCGCACGGCTCGTCCTCGTCGTCGTCGAAACCGCAGCCGCCCGCGACGACCAAGTCGCCGCCGCCGCCGCCGCCGCTGAAGTCGCAGCCCAGGGGGATGTAGGCGCCGCCGGCCAGCTCGTCCTCGGCCATGGCGAAGTACCCTTCCCCTTCCGCCATGAAGTGCCCGCCGAATGCCACTTGGCCCTGGTCAGTCCTAAAAGAAAAAAATTTAAAAAAAAAAAAAAAGGGGGGGGGGGGAAGGGGGAGAGAAGGAACTCCGTGAGGCGGCTGGCGGCCACAGGCTGTCCCCACAGAGGAAAGAGCGCGCGCCCCCTAACCCAGGGAACCCCCTTCCCCGGCTGGCCCCTCGGGCTCGCCTCAGAGATTTCCTCAGAGACTCTCTCCCTCCCCAGACCCCCGCGGTCCCCAAACCCCCCCGCCCCAGCCCCGCGCGCGCCGCGCCCCGCAGAGCAGCCCCGCACCAAAAGTATCTCTGATGCATCTGGAAAGCGCAAGCGGGTGTCCCGTCTGTGTCACCTGGAGGCGGCCGCCCCTTCTAGGAGCCGCGCAGCGAGCAAAGGAGCCGCGGAGCCGCGCGCGCGCGACGCTTCCAGGAGCGGCGAGTGCGCCCCCGGCCGCAGCGAGCGAGCGAGTGAGCGAGCGACTCTTTTTTCCCAGACCCCGGCCGCCGGCTCCGGCCAGTCCGTCCCGCCCCTCGCCCCCTCCCACGCCGCTGCCGCCGCCTCAGCCGCGGTGGTCCCGGACGGAGGAGGTGGCGGCTTCCTTGCAGCCGCCCCGCGCCGCACACACACACACGCTCCCGTCTCCGGAGCTTTCGCAGTTGTGCGGGAAAAACGTCCTCAGGACTTTTTTTATACCGGGGCCGCTCCGCGCTTCCGGGGCCCGGCGCGCCGCGCTGGCCACGCCCCCTCATTTGCATGGGGCGCCGCCCCCTCCCGGCGGACGGTTCCGGCCGCCGCGCGCTTAGCAGGCGGCCCCCGGAGCTCCCGGCTGGGCGGCCGGGGGCTGTAGGTGTGCGTGTGTATAGGTGCGTGTAATTTACACACTTGTGACTTATGGACAGCTCCCCGCCCACACGCTTTCCCTCACGAGGAGACCCGGACCACGCGTAGAGAGAGTCCCCAGAGGCCCTCAAAACAGGATCGCAAAACTAACACCCCGCAGCAGCAGGACCTTCCCAAACATAAAACCCTCGCCGGATGCGACGCGCTGTCACTGAGCCTCGGGCCGGGGCTCCCGAGGTTCCTCACGACCTGAGGGGGGTGTCGCTGGGCCGGGACCGTTCCCTTCATGCATGATCCCGGCCCCACGAATAAGCCCCGGGCCCCGTGAACGCTCCCAGCGTCCGCTGGTCCCTGCACACATCCGTCTCCGCACCCGAGGGGAAGGGCGCGCTCGCTGGGTTTCGTTTCTCGCTTCTCGAAACCTCGGGAAGCGCGAGGAGCCCGCGGCGCGCCCGCCCGTGGAAGCGCGGGGGCGGGGGCGGGGCCGGGGCCGTGCGTTCCACTCCAGCGCCCGGCGGCGGCGGCGGCGGCGGCGCGGGGCACCGGCCCGGCTCGCGCGTCACTGAGCGACGCCGCGGGGGCTCCCGTCCACGGCCCGGGGGGCGGGGCGGGTCGGAGCGCGGGGCGGGCGGCGCTGGGAGACCCTCGCGGAGCGGGGCGCCCGGCGGCGGTGCTCTCACGGAGAACCCCGGGCGGCGGAGCGCGCTCCTCACGCCTCGCAGCGAAGGTTTGTCTCTTTCACGTGAATGTCAGTGAGAAAGGATGTCGTTTTCCCCAAACGGAAAGAACGTGTTTACAAAGTGGAGTAGTGAGTGCCTCCCTCCCCCGCAGCTCCCGTCGCTGCAGCCGCGCGGAGGGACGGTAAAGGTTCTCCCCGCCGTGCCCGCGCCGTCTTTTCTAGAAAGTTTCCCCGCCCCCCCTTCACCCGGCCTCCCGTGCCGGCCGCCCCCGCCTCCCCCCACAACGCGGAGTCACTTTCTTTCCCGCGGCGGGGAGGCCGGGAGACCAGGCTGCGGTGCGGGCTAAGCGGAGCGCCCAGGGACGGGGAGCGGGCCACCGCCGCCCGCGGCCCTCGCACCCAGCAGCCCGGTGGGAGGAAGAGCCGTCCGCCCCTTTGAAGTGGGGGAGCCGGGGCCTCGAGGGGGCGGGGCCGGTCAACTGGGAGCTTCCAGCTGCAGGACAACGCCGCCCCCTGCCGGCGCCCCTCAGAGGAGCTGTGTCCCGAAGCAGGGAAACCCCTGGATCTGGAACTTGGAGGGAGGGAGGCCATTATCCTTCAGCTGGCGGGGGGGGGGGGGGGGGGGGGGGGGGGGCGAGCGGTGATGGTGGAGGGGGAGGTGATGTGGGGGAGATGGGGTTAGGAGGGGAGTGGGAGAAAGGACGCTAAGACAACCACCCAGTTCTCATAGGCCATTGCCTCCCCAAAGCACACTGTCCAGCTACCCACGCGTGAATCAATCCATCCTTTCTATACAGACATTCAGTAAAAATCACATCTCTGTGTGTCTGTGTCTTGACTACCTGTTACCACATCGTCTAATGGGCACGATTGACAGGTACATAATTATGGTTCAACTGTACGTGTGTTGTGAGAGAAGTATGTTCTGACACAGGAGGAGTGGGCTGGCCTAGGATTCAGGGAACTGGGAGAGAAGAGCAGAAGAGAGAGAGAGAGGCGTTAGTTGGATTTCCTCCCATAGCTGAGAAAGAGGGAGAAAGGGATAAGGAGTATAGAAGAAAATGCTTGAGGAAGGATGTATAAACCACCACGGTAAGAAATGAGATTGGTAGTGCATTTCAATAAGGTTTTTATAGGTTTCAGGACCTTATTGATCACCCCTGAGCCATACTCTACTTAACTCTTTACACATAAAACCACATATACTCTTCAAGAAGAAGATATTCAATGTCATTGGGATTTGGAAAAAGAGGAACCTAGAAGTAAAGAGATTTGCCCAAATTTCATGGCTAATGTGGGGTCAGGCCTTAACCCCAGCTCATTTGGCTGGGACTGCTATTTAGCCATTATTTTTAGGAATGTGATGCTTGTAGCTTGCCAGTATCTTCCAGTTGTAAGGCAAGTATAGCACAAATAGGAAAAAGATTTAAAGAAAAAGAAAAGGCCTGTTTTTTTTTTGTTTGTTTGTTTGTTTTTTGTTTTTTGTTTTGTCCTGCCCGGCCACAGTGGCTCAATGGTTGAGCAACAACCTATGAACTAGGAGGTCACAGTTCGATTCTGGGGCAGGGCACATGCGGGGTTTGCAGGCTCATCCCCAGTGGGGAGTGTGCAGGAAGCAGCCTCTCTCATGGTTGATGTTTCCATTGCTCCCTCTCCATTCCTCTTTGACATATAAAATATGTTTAAAAAAACACTTTTTTTTTTCTCCTAAGAGGTGACTCATGAATTAGGTACATTGGGAAAAAAAATAGAATTCAAGGGGTTAGCCCCACTGCCATTATTTTGTACTGTATTTTAACCCTTTCTCAAAGAAAAGTATCTTCGAACTGGTGAGCCTCTGTGCTTCATTCGTGCCCATGGTTTTGTTCTATGTGCCTAAAAGAAACTATATTTTAGTAAGATATCCTTGAGGTACCTGCCAGCCATACTTTGTACTGCACTGAAAACAGCCACTGCAGCTTGGTTCTCTAGGTTGGGACCCTTTCCCAAGCAGAGGCTATTCTCTGACCAGTTGCTCTTAAGGCCTCTATCAAGAATGAATGGCATGCTGAGAGGCAGATGTAGAATATGAGACCAGACATGGAGGGTCTGCTATGCACCAGACCCTTTGCTGGGGAAAAGATAAGTCCCAGCAGTGGTGGGTCAAGACCCCTTCTCCTAAGCTGCCAGGGTTTTGTGTCCGACACGTCTTTAACAAAGCATTCTCCACCCCCCATCCGGGTTCTCTCCTTACCACAACCTTCACCTTCCAGATCTCCATAATCCTAACCCTGCTACTTCTTACACTAGGATATCTGGGATACTTTACATTTAGCAGTGCCTTGGTGGTGCTTTGACTGGATTCATATGTTCCTGATTCATAGTGGCCACTTTATGCAGATTGTTGGATGGGAGCATCTGTTGTTGTTTTTACCCCCCACTCTTTTCTCTGTATTCAAACTGAAATAATATTTATGTACATTCTGGGGGTGGAGGAGGAATGTTCATCTTTACATGAAATTGTAATTATCAAATGAGAAAGTTTATGCTTTCCAAACACATTCACAGCCCAGACTTCTCTCAACACAGATACTCTTAGATTAAATTTAGATACAGAGTTGCAAGTTTTTTCAGGCTTTAGCTTCTGAACTTATTTGGTAAATATTTACTTTTCCCTATTTAAAAGGGTTAGAAATCTATGATATGATGTTCTGAATTTCTATTTGAAAATTTTACAAGAAAACTTTATACATTTTTTTTTTTTTAGGAAAAAAACACTTATAATTCAAAGTTAATCTTGATTTAAAAGTTGTAGTAACAATTTCTTCTTAGCACCATAAGAAGAAATTCCATTTTAGCCTTAATAATAGTTACCATTGTTCTGGCCCAGTGACCAGAACAACTGGAATGACCAGTGGCTATGACATGCTCTTGTTCCAGCCAACTGGCCTGATCCAGGCCCTGATCGGCCCCTCGCCAAACTGCCCATGGCCCCTCCCCCTGTCTAGCCACATCTCCGATTGCCCTTCCCCCCACCTGATCGAGGGCGGGGCTAGTGGGCCAACTTCCCACAGACCCCCCACTCACTCTGCTGGCCTAACCATTGGGGCATGTCAGCCGGACCCAACTCTTGCATGAATTCATGCACTGAGCCTCTAGTTTTGTCATAATGTGCCAGGCATTGTGCTCAGTATTTCACATACATTATTTCTTTTAAACTTTCTTAAAGTATCAGGGCTTTACATATTACATTCCCACTTTTCAGACAGGGGAAATAAGGCAGAGGAAAGTGAAGTAACCTATAGAAGTGGTTGCTCTCCTTTTCCCTTTCATTCTTGAGTCTGACTTCTCCCAGGCTTCTCATTTTCCTTTTATACTTAAAACTAAACTGGACTGCACTCTGTTCCTTCTTTTTAAAAAAATCTTTATTGTTGAAAGTATTACATATATATCCTTTTCTCCCCATTGACCCCCAAATACCCTTGCCATTTTCCCTTCCCCACACCTTCCGCCCCTCAACCAAAGAACTTGTATGCATATATGTTCCTTCTTCCTTCTTTCTTCACAGGTTATGAAAGTTCAACTTGGATTTAACATTGAGAACCAAGGTGTTTTACCCTGAAACAACTATTGAGGGCCAGAATGCACAGTTACCTAACTGGGCTCATGGGAGTTTCTTCCCAAGCCATGAATAGTGGTAGAAAGCTAGGAAGCTCAGCAGCCTTACAGAGAGCTTGCAAGAAACACCACTAACACTGAAGCACGGAGTGAGATTTGGAGAATGCCTCTAGTTTACTTATCTGTGTCACTACCTTTCCCATTTTGCTTTGTCGGCTTCCTATCTTCTCAAAAATAGTTTTAGGAAACAAATAAGAAATGATTTTCACAAACTCAAACCCCAAAGGAGTGAGGGAAGAGCCCAGAAAACTGCAGTTAAGCCTATAACTTCTTTCTTCCACAGCACTCAAGCTAATCTCTCCTCATATTCCTATCTCCCCATTGATCTTTCCACACCAGCCCTCCCCACTCTCTCCATTGATTTACCACCTTTCATT